ACCTACTAACTTTTGAGTGTCTGTAAAGTTAATCAAGTTACCCACCTCACCACAACAACATCCTGAACAGAAATGTATAAAACGGAGATAACGGAGGGGACATCTCAGACACATCCTGGGATATATCCACATTCTCAACTTACAGTACATGAAATATAATAATAAATAAAATTAACTATCCTCAAAATTTCAGGTATTACGGACGGAAGGACAGGTGAAGGTGACAGACGAAGTGAGAACTTTAGATTACAAAGTTCTCCACCTCCCAGATATAAAATAATACCTGTAATCCATTCCTCACTCATAAATTTGCCTTCACCACTAACCGCAGATAATGTCAGATTAAAGAGTGTTACACGAAGTTCTAACTCATATCCCAGCACTTATCCTCCCTCCCTCTCGTCTTTGCTGCAATACCCCATAACGTTGGAATTACCCGCGCCGTGCTGTGCCGGAGCAGACCTGAGGTTTGACGGGGAATTTGTCCGATTTGTGAATTCCTCCTTCATGGTTTGTCAAGGTTGTGTTGTGTAAAAGTTTTGTCTGTCTGTCTGTTTAAGTGTGTGTATTTGTGTGTGTGTGTGTGTGTGTGTGTGTGTGTGTGTGTGTGTGTGTGTGTGTGTGTGTTGTCGTCACCTAGTCACAAGACCATACGGCCAGACACTAATACAGTGGTACTCGTGTCTCTCAGGATACGTTATGACTTGTGGTATGGATACATTAATGTGAGTTGAGGACAATGGGAGCTATCACCCACCAGAGAGTTTAGTGTATAAGAATTATATCTAGATTATTATGTATAAGTAGGTGGTGACATACAGTATGGTAGTTAGTGCAAAGGGGATCTTTTTTATTTCATATTTATTCTATTTATTCTTCAATATTTATATACTTGCTTCATATCTATATTTTCTATTAATCTTATTTTCTAAGTCTTTCTGTCTATAAGTATCTATCTTATATTTCTTTGTTTATATTTTCTAAGTCAATATTCTTTTATATACTTTATTCCTTGTGTCATATATATCAGCCAATTTTCTAAATTTTATATCCTTTCTTTCTCTCAATTTATTATTATGCTTTAGTTATATTCTATACCGTGGATTAATCTCGTTAAACCATGTCATTCTTACTATAACACTTAGTATACTTACCACGGTAGCCTGCCACCACCCAGACTTTTATTAGAATATAATATATCTTAGTGAACTGTGAGGTAGCGTGTTAGCGAGCTTCTAGGCACGTGACTTACAATAGTTATTTTCTGAGAACCAACTGGTAGAAGGAATAGAGCGGTGTTACTCGTAGTTTACTAATTCAATATTTATTAACATAAGGAGTGAACAAGATGTTAAATAAGTACACTCAGACCAGACTGGACCCCTTAGGTCTTACTTTACCATTCATAAAATTGATCTTCAATTACTTATTACATCATTAAACAACTATTTATATTATTTCTTTGACAAATACGATGGTTATTTTACACGCTCAGATAGGACTGGACCCTTAGGTCTTACTTTTACAAGTAGCAAATTAAATCTTCAATTCTTGGTAACAACATTAAACAATCATTATATTACTTCATTCTCAATACAGATGGTTATATGACACATTTGACAATATCCCAAATGAACATACTATTTATAACATCATGTTATTTCGGAATGAACAACATGGCACTTTTCCCTCAGTTGGTAGTACAACAGTGACTCTTCCTGTGGTAGGAGGTCCTTGATAGTGGGACAGTCAAGGCAAGAGTGATGAAGGGTGTTAGCGTTGGGACAGTTACAGAGTTTACAGGAAGAGAAGTGCAGGTCAACCCCCACCTCAGATACTTGCCAGATAGGTCTGTATCTTAACCTAATACGAGCAGAGACAACATTATGTCTGTGGACCATAAGTTCACGTCGATGATACTTATGTGGATCAAGTAAAAGTGACCATAGTGTTGGATGGATACACTCTCAGCCCGTTCACTATCCCTCGATGAATTGTAGAGAGATGAGCAGCATAGGCTAACTGAAGTACCTGTTGGGGTCAACGAGCGCATCATGACGCTCCGAGTCCCACTGAATCACTCACGTCTTGCCTTATCAGTGCAACATTGGATGCAGAGGATGACACCAAGGAGGCCTTTTACGCCGACCTTGACAGAGTGCTAACCTCTATCCCCAGAGAAGATAAGGTTTTGCTCCTCGGTGACTTTAATGCCAGAGTGGCAGAGATGCTGACATTTGGCAGGGAACCATAGGGAGAAATGGACTAGGCAAGTGTAATCCCAACGACCTACTCCTCCTCAGCAAGTGTGCTGCACACAACCAACTATCACCAACACCTTGCTTAGGTAGGCCGACACGTTCAAGGCAATATCCACGATCCAAACACTGGCATCTCATTGACTACATCATTGTCAAAGAAAGAGATCGCCGAGGTGTCCTCAACACCTGAGTCATGCGTAACTCAGACCACTGTGGTACAGATCATTGGCTCGTCAGAGCAAAACCCTCCCTTTACGTCTCCCCAAAACGGCGCAAGCAACAAGCCTACAGAAACGGCTTCAACACCAAGCGACTGGAGGATCAAGCGGTAGAACATGCTTTCAGAGAGCAGCTCGACGATGGGCTGATAAATAACTCAACAACAACGCTGTCGTCACAAAAACCTGCAGCGAGACCCTCGGCCAGACCAAAATAAAACACCAGAATTTATTTATTTCCCAAATCAATAAAAATGCCCTGCTGGCGTTAATAGCAATATTGTGAGAGGATACTTCTTGTAAAGAAATGTAGCTGTAACGCCTTTAATGTTGCTCTAATCGCTCTAAATTTTAATGTAAGCAAAAAAAATGGAAAAGAAGGGTTTTTTGCATATGCCATATGGGATCTCGTTTTAATTGCGCTCATTAAATGCAGCATATGCAAAAACTGCTTATTTGCCAGATTTCTTTGCTCATAATGAAATTCATAGCAATTAGAGGAGGATATGGAGACTTAATCCTTCAGCACTCTTTACGTTGAATGTGAATAATACCGTTATTGGTAATTCTTCTAGTGTGTGCTTTTTTGTATATTTGATAAAATAATTATTGTCAATACAAAAGTACAGTACAAAAGCGTCCCAGACACATTTCAAGGGACTTTACAGACACGGCTCATCACTCTTCAGGTCTACATATCAGCCAAATTCTCCCCCATCCTTTGTAATTATTTATCATATTAGCACCACTTGCGTCATTTGTATATTTTTGTGAATCGAGTGAACTATTCCCCAATTATGAAACTTTTATAGTTTCTGCTGACTATTGTTTGTGAACTAGAGAAAACGTAAAACATGACATACTAGAGAAAATGAATATTTTAGTAGGTAACTCAAGAATATAGTTTATTTATGTTTTATGGACTATTGCCATTTTCTTTCAGTAAACTATTAATTATCACACACACATGTAGAAAATAAAAGTTTCGCGCTATAAAACTTCTCATTAACATATATGTAAAAAACTTTGGATTCCAACCATAATAAATCCTCGGGTAAATATTAGCAGGAATTGTTTTTCCTCAGACTCACCAAGACTGTAATTATAAAAAAATTTCGTTATTCGGCAGTCAATCAAAACACTCCTTCAAGATAACTCATGGATAACTGAAGTGCCAAAGATTCTCAAGAGATTCCTTAACGGCGTGGATTCTGAAAAGTTCCTTATGGTGAATTTTCCCTTAACTGATTCAAGAGGTGGATTCATATAGTTTCGCATAAGAAATTTTTATTTTTTATTTTACACCTTGTTGAGCCATTTGCCTGAGTGACGCCGTGAGGGAAGGTTGTGTGCTACTGGCCCCTCTGTGCTGGCTAAATTGTTTGTATATTTTTATTTTCATATTAAATTACTCCAAGTTATTACATGTGATGACCACTGCTAGGCTAGTTCGTCAACCCAACGAGTAGTTGCTGAGAGTTTTATACAGTTACCAAATGTAAATTTAGGCGACGTTGATGTTCTGTGAAAGGGTAAATACTAAGTTAAACTCCCTCATTTCATCTGTTACCTGGGAGTAGTTTATGTGGCGTCTGTAGTGAGATTTAAATCGTGTGCTTGAAAGGGGAGAAAGCGAATTTGAATATTTTAAGACGGAGCAAGTTGACATTATATTATCACTGAGCTTCAACAACCAAGGCGTTTAAGCCAGTAACAAGGTTCGTAATTACACTACTCCTTCAACAATTAAAAATTACAAGAGTTTGAACTATGTGGGTAAAGGCAGCGTGGAGAGTCACCCTACTACACCTTACACTGGCTCGGGACACTCAACCCCACATGTTACCTTCACATTTGAACTACTAACTATTCTGACCATTCTGACGTATAGTACTAACATGACCTATCCTCTTTGCTAGTGGGTCTTAAGCCTGCGGGGGTGAAATATGTATAAACAGGTACAATATAGGCTACCTGGCCGTGACGTGAGCGGAAGGGCGAATAGAACTGAGGTAAAATAAAAGACACATTGGTGAAGAATATAAATGAATAGAGACGTAACCGATCCCCCAAGCAGCTAACGAGCCGATCAATGCTGAAGAGGATAAAGGTAAAAAAGGTAAAATTAAATATAACGCGGTAACATATAGATGGTATATTCCTGTGGGTCGATTCTCCTGTGTAATTTCATAATAATATACAACCATAATTGAGGATATTATGTGAACGTTAGTAATCTTTATGGTTAATTTCTTTATATATTACGTTAATTAGGTTAAATCTGTCATTTGTATGGTTATTTTTTTTATAACCAAAACATTTAAATCCTAACATGTGAGTCTCGTTGTGAACAAGATATATATCAGTACTTTTAAACAAAATTCTTGATTAAACTTAAACTTATCATAATTATAAACTTGCAATAATTTATAATCTAAGCTCTTGTATTTATTTTAATATTATTGATAATTTATAAAAAGTGCAGGAAATAAATAGTAATATTATTTATGTCTGCGCCACAGCCGAGCATCGTCTGCTGGAGCCGTGTATGACGACATAGTCTGCCTCTGCTGTAGCCCTTGTTAGTGTGTGTTTCCTCGCCTCTCATCCATTATGGCAGCGTGTCTGAGGTCTTTAAAGCTTAGTCTGCCTCCTCGGGTAGCAGGAAATAGTGGCGGTAGAGCTGCTAATGAGGGTGGACACCTGCTGACCCGGGGGCGACCCTACACCCGCTGGGACACTCAGGTCGGTACACACCAAGTTTATTATATACAAATATACCCTGATAACCCATGCATATGACTGATGACCCACATTTACACATATTAGGATGAAAGAATGGGTTGTGTATAGTCCAGTGTTGGTACTATGATGGAGGGCAGTAGTAGTCATCCCAGGCACCAACACTTACTTTCCCTCTCCCTCTACTCTCACTCCTTTTTGTTCTTTGATATATTATTTTGTGTATGTATATGTATCTCAATTCACTGTGTGTGTGGTAATGTATTTTGTGATCTTTGTGTCTTGGAAGCAACGGCATGACTCGCCTATTTTACTTTTTTTTTTTTTATTGCCTACAAAAGTCAACCTTCCTGAATATGTTTGATAGGATTGTGGACTATGTTGTTATAATTATTTACACAGTAGCTTCCAGATGATTCCAAGATTGAGAAGCTTTCATGAAGGTGTGTGGGTCATGATATGGTGAATATTTGCCTTTCACCCATTCCTCTGCTAGTGTTTCTGACTACCATAGATATGTAGTTTTTTTTAATTACGTATCGATGCTACAGAATAACATTTCTTGTCCAAATGCTTAGTTGTTAATATATTTACCCTCAAACATAGACTTATTTTCAGCTGGGCCAAGGTGATGTAGCAGTCCGCCTGAGTGGGTACGTTAGGTTAGGTTAGATAGTATTATCAGTTTACCTTTGGTTCGGGTTAACAACGATGTGGTCATGGTTAACGGCAATTCGGTTGGCAAAGGTAAGTCAGGTTACCTTCTTTTGGTATGAGAAACTTTTTTTCTGGTGTAGTTTTGGCGATTTTCTAGAAAAAAAGGCTCATTTGCACAAGAAATGAAGGTCATATTTGACTAAAACAATATAAATTACACCAAAAAACACACACACAATTTTTCATATCCAAACCGGAATGGACAAAAAATTAATAATTAACTTGAAAGTGTCCAAAGGGCCACCAGACTGGTGTCTGCACTACAGCACCTCAGATACCCAGCGAGATTAGAACAGCTACAATTGCCCAGCTTATACTACAGCTATAAACACCTCAGAGGACATATTATACAGGCAGTCCTGGATTTACAAATGGGTTAAGTTCCTGGACCCTGTTTGTAAGTCAAAACAGTGTTAGTGCCATAGGCATAATATTCCGTAAATAACAACTAATGTAAATACGGTAAATAAAATGATGTTAAACAGAATACAATAATGAAAGTAACGTAAAAAATGGGAATTTAATTTGAGATTTCTTTGATGACTGTACAGTACAGAACTGTATTGGGATCCTGTTCATAAGTGCAGGTGTTCATAACTTAGGACTGCCTGTATATATATACAGTACACACACACTACCGTCATACGTTACCTTGCTAAAATTACTATATGCTCGTGTATGTGATTTGCTAGGTAAAAGTTGAAATGGAATCTACCTGCAGTACCCTATGTAAGCTCATTGATATTGACATCGTCCTTATAATGTGAATACAGGTAGTTGAGAAATATTGGCTATATTATTGCACAAAATTCATTCTGTATTCACACGTGAAAAAACACTGTGTTAATGTGTCATAATCATCCACAGAGCTGTGTTCAGAGTGCCCCATCAACACCAATTCACCTAAGTAGCAGTGTTAGTGCAGCAGCACAACAGCAACAGCAGCTGGACTTTAGTGCAACATCCTCCCCAAACCTCTCTGTTCCAGACGCCCCTTTCACACCCCTGGCAGCCTCTCAGTGGCTTCATAAGAAACAGGTATGTACGGTATTCAGTGTCACCATCTTTACAGCCTTCAGTGAATTGAATTGAAACTTGGTTGGTATCATTCATAATGGTGTTGGTGTGCTTCTTGAGGGTCACGGGGCCACAGATGCCGAGACGTCTACTGTGTTATGTTTGGTGTTGTTGGCACTCACCGCTTCAACAGATACTGTACTGTACACAATAATGGTGAACATGTTGACAGTGAATTAAAGGGAGGGAGTCAAACACAGCCTTATATGTAAATTACATTTTCTAAAACTTAGCACCTTCTTTAATCGCCCATGAGCCCTTAGATTCAGCTACAGAGATTCCAGTCAGAATTTATCTAATTGCTAGCCAGATAATTGAATTTTCCCATCAGCAATGTGAAAATGTTTGAAGGGATATAAGAAGGTCTGAAATATTCCTTGTCCTCTTTTTAAACTAGAGACAGAGAACAGTCTTTTTCTTTTTGTACTAAACACCTGGTGGTATATTAACGAAAAAAGTTATCTCAGTCCCCATCCTGTCAATGAACCCTGAGACTCATGAACCTGTGAATCTGAGACATCACACATTGCACCATCTATGGGCCCAACAATGTGTGATGTCTTGGATTCACAGGTTCATGAGGACTCACAGGACACTCTTCCATGACTGTACATGATGCTTTTTCAGGTTGAGGCTTTGGGAAATGATGTGACCGATATGTTTGAGAGGAGCGGCCTAACTAGACAAAACTTGCACTGTTTTGACCCCCTTGGCTTCATCATTTGCCCGGCCCATTCCAACTGTGATGATAATGAGGTGAGTTGTGCTCTAGAAAATCAGAGTTGAACGATAGTAAAACTGAAGTCGTCATTGGCAGGGGTACTGTACTGTGTTGAGCAATATGGCTGGATTCACTAGGTTTAGGAGTTACACATCTTTTTCCCCTTGAATCTGACAGACATTTTAATATTATTTTGATGTAACTTTGTGTATGAACATATAAACTTTGAGATGATAGGACTGGGTGATATCAGTTGCTGCTGTAGTTATAATGCTCAGTATGTCTGTTTTTATCTTTGGTCTCTTAAACATTTTTATATGTTGAACCACTCGGTGTTCTCCCTTAATATAGAACTGCTGATTTAGTGAAATATAAACCAACAGGTAACTATACTTGGGTTGTGTTTCTGAAAACCCCACTGTAAATAATAATGTACTGTATTTATCCATTTATAAATTGGGAGATACTTTCCTCAGAAGTAAAAACTTTCAACAGATGATAAAATAGGGTATTTTCCAATTATGTGCAGGTTCAGTACTCTCCAAAAGTAGATACAGTATTATATCCCTGAAATCCCACTGTAGAAGATGACAAAACACAGGGGGATTTCAGTATTATGACTTGTGTGGTGTTACAGTACATAAATTCTTCAGTCTCGGTAAATATATTTTTATATTTTTGTGTACGTTCATTAGAGTTAGATAATTATTGTTCATTTTCTTTATTGCTGAAAGAATCGGAGCCACAGATTTTTGCAGGACCTCGTGAGGTGTTGGTCGGGTAATGAAGTGGACCAGCTGGGTATTCTGGCCATTACAACTCCTATAACTTGATGGTTTTAAGCTCCCATAAGCATGTGGCAGTACTGTATCACATTCATGTTCATGCCTAGTAATTTTTAGATATTTAACCTTCTAGTTCACTTGATCCTCTGGGAAGGAGACTTTACATAACATTGAAGTATTTTTCTTTCTTTAACAAAGTTCCACCTAAGCTGTTCAAAAGTGGATTGGTTGAAGATTTAAAATATAAATTAATTTCAGGTTCAGACTTGTGGGGCAGTTGTTTGTCGTGATGGCAACACGAGTGTCAGGACTTTCCGCCTTCCCCCGGATGCTCTGTGGTATCCTCTGGGGGCATACCACCAGGGAAAAGACATTGTTTACTCTGTGTCATACAGTCAGATAGAAAGTAAAGTGTTAGAAAGCATGTCACCATTAAGCTCAGGTGAGGAAAATGGAACCTTCTCAGGACACACAAGTAATACTTCTTACACAGAAACACAAGAAGCCGTAAACCCAGAATGTGATATGTCTATGTTCCTTAAGAGTGTGTGTGAAGAAGGACTCCTGCGGTGTAATGCTCCCTCGCCGAGCCAAGGAGGGGCGGACAAGTTAGATCCGTCAGGAAAACCCAGTGCAGAGCAGCTGTCCCATGTCTTCAATAAGCTGGCAGAAACGGTCAGTATTAAGAAGCAGTTTTCTGTTTGACATTTATTACACAGCCATGTTAGAGTACTGTATTATTTGAATTTTTTTCCTTTTTTGTTGCCCTTTTTATTAACTCCTATATATAATTATAATAGAGTACATGTTTTTCTTTGTGTATGAAGTCTTCTACACTCTTCCTGGTGCTGAGTCATCACATACTGTTATTCATATCAAAAGCCCATTTTTTGTTGGATATTTTCTATCAACTGCTTACTTTACTACACTACACTATACATTATCTTGTTCATTATCCACTACAGTATCAACCATTCTTCCTATGCATGTCAACATTGTCAATCATTCATTTTTGTTCTTTATATTTTATTTTTCCTCTAATATTTGTTTTACTTATATTTGCTAGTGTTTCCAAGGTGGTAGTGTTGGATGGTGGTGTTGGTGGTAACTCAAGGTGTCTAGACCATCCACTAGTGGTTGATACTCCACCTTAACCATCCACCAAAGCACCACTGTGTATTTAAATCATTTATACAGTACCAAACAGTCTAGGTAAATCATTAATTGGGATTATAACAGAAGACACTACAGTACTGACATTGCTAGCCCTGTCCAATATCATCACCACCAACCTGCTGTTTTGTCTCTCTTCCCCCCTCCCACCACCACTGCCACCTTCATCATCATCTTTATGTGTGGGTGATGGGTGCAGTCAGTAAAGTCTTTTAATGGTTCTCTCATATCACATTTTGGTGTTAAAGATCAGATTTCTTTTCTCGGGAAGATTATTTAAGTGATAATAATGCGATGGGGTATTTAATTGGTCTTTAGGGTGATAATTTATCATATTATTTTTTAGTTTATCATGTATCTCACTCACCTGTGCACATGTTTAGATTCATAGGTGTAAAGTGCTGTTGGTTTATGTGTAGTTATTATTGAAATGTTTGATAAAACTCCATTTCCTGCAGTGACACTTTTATTGGTATTCCGTCATCATCCAGTTTTAAATTGATCTCGGCCATTGTGTATTGCAGTTGCCCAAGTTGTTCATCCAGCCTCTTGACTACAATATCTACTCACAGGACATTGTCTTTGAGAACAGAATTCGTGGTCTTACTACGGTGTAAGTACGAATTGGTCTTGGTTTTTTGTCTAATGAATTCTTTTCTTTCTGCATTTTTTTTTGTTTTTTTGTTTCTTGTCTTCACTTGGTATTTATAATTTGGGAGTCTAGGGAAAAAAATTAAGTTTCATTTACCAGATTACACTGTGATCACACGAAGATTAGACACCCTAATTTATTTCTTCTGATCATTCAACACCTTAATGCTACCTGGTGGATTGGTTAGGTTAGCATTAGGGTGGTTAAGGACAAGATAAAATAAGCTGAGGTGCCTAATCTTCACATTATCCCTTCTTAGGAATGCATGTCCTGTGTTAGCGAAGAGAGGTATACCTGTGTGGTATTTGGGGAGTGCAAATGTCAAGGTGAATTAACAATTTACACATTACAATGATATAAAATACTTTGTTTTCGTTCACAGAGGCTTAGTGCCGTACATAAGACAGGTGGCTCTACTCAGAACGGTCGGGCACTTAAAATTTGCCCATGTCAAATTTGAAATACTGAAGATCACAAAACACCCAGAAGATGGCACTGTGAGGGTCAGGTGGCGAATTAAAGGCTTATCAGGACTGAAGGTAAGAGTGGACATATAATGCAGTACAGTATACCAGATATTACATGTTATTCACTGGTGATTGTAGAGTTTTGTTGGTAATAAAAATATAAAGAGAGGGGAGACCATGAAGGAATGAATGTTAACTTGAATGAGATGGAGTGATGAATAATATCACAGAGAAGCAGAGTAGAAGGCTGATGAGAAATGTGTGGATAATCATGTTAAAGAAGACCAAGTTGGGATGAAGCAGCATCGACCCCAAATGAGATGAAACAGTCAGGGTAAGTCGGTTTGGAGACTCATTCCCGTGACTCGGTTTCACCGCGGGGAATGAACCTTTGTCCGCGACTGTACGTGGGAATTACTGAGCTGACATTACTGAGGGTATTTGTGTAGTATGAAGCAAGGACTCCAGGTGCTGTAAGAGGAAGTAAATAGGCAACAGCAGGAGTGACGTGTTATGATGGGTAGGATGAATAGGAGGAAGAGATTAAGACATACTTAGAATAGGAAATGGGGAAGTGGAATATTTGTCGGCCATAGAGTACCCGTGGCTGCTTATATATTATGGACATGTTGAGGCAAGTGAGTAGAAGTGAATAGTTGGAGAGGAAGACCGTGGCAGTTGAAGGATGGGTTGTAGGAAGCATAAAAAGCTTGAGAGATGAACTTTCAGAAAGAAATACGGTGTGTTTGAATGAGTGGAGAGCAAGGCCCATATTTATACGAGTCTGTAAGAGGCCTTTGCTGATATAAAAGGTGTACGGTAATTGCCATTGTCCATGTTCATATCTCTATTGATTGGCTTACCTCTAACTCTGTTACCTTCTGTTCAGGCCATGTTCCAGTTCTGGAAGATCAAGTTGTGGAACTGGAAGGGGATAGTGGACCAGATGGAGAGTTGGTATGACGGCTTCTCTACGTTTTATGTTGGTGGTGACGGAGTTGTCCATAAACACGTGGCAGACAGTGTGAGTATTTCTCTCCCTTTCTTAATATATTGAGACCTAGTGTCACACACAGTTGAGGTGTTATAATAATCATTGTTTTAATCCATATTATTATTGTTGGGGCAGGGATGAAGAGTCGTGTCTCACAAGCTATATTTTTAATTTTAAGTTATGCTGAAGTGTTCTGCCCATGTCCATTAATTCCTGAAGACTGATGCACTGAAAACATCCTCATAATGATCTTGATTTCCAGTACAATATATATTAATATTACTTTGTGGTTTGTGCTACTTCACTTTCTCCCCCAGATGATGCCAGACGAAGAACATCATGTAATAGAGAAGGGACCCCTGGCAGTCAAGATGGCAGCCCTCCTAGGTCTCGCACACAGGCCAAGTTTTGGTGACACCGGCAGTGCCATGTTCTTCAACTTTGACTCTCTCTCACTGATGCACAAAGAGGATGAGGACACGTATATACATTTAATGCTTCCACTGGAGAAAATTCACTGATTATTCATTGTGGGATAATTTATCAATTTTTTTTGGTGAACCACCAACATAGGCTTTGCTTAATCACACAGTGTGAATATTCATTCTGTGCTTGAAGAAGAAATATTCCATGAGTTGAAATTTACTGTACAGTAGTAAAGTGGATATACTGAATATTGAAGTCATTCAAGCCAGCACTGGTATCGTCTTGTGAGCTTGTACTGTACTGTAATGTGTCCTTCCTTCCTTCCCTCCCAGTGACAGAGAGGCTTGTGGGGTGTGTTGTGGTCATGTGCTTGATTTACCTGTACAGTGCTCACGGTGTCTTGGTTAAATAATGATGCAGTAGTTATATTCAGGTTTCTGTTCTCTGCATATATACAGTACAGTATATGATATTTCAGTCATGATGTGTTCTCTGGACACACTCCATAATTAAATTTGTATTAATGTTACGGCTATTTTTAATCTGTGGGATACTTGTTGATGCTATTTACTGTATTCCATAAGACTAGAAAACTAATTGCAGAGTTTTGAAATTATGCTTCATCATTTTCTCTGATAATTGTCATTATATATTAAATAGAACATTATCTCACTAATATTTGATTGATACATGTGGGACCATAGCAGATAGACCCTGTATGAGCTATCCACATATAATATATACCCGGCATATACACGTGTATGACATAGCTACTGCTTTTTGGACATATTCAGTGACCAAGTAATAATAATCGTGTACTACAGTACAGAAAGTTATTAAATTAGACTTATAAAAAAGTGAAATCCATTTTGTGTTTTGTTGGTGTTGAGTGTACGAGTGAGTCACCAGAGTTTAACATTATTTGAATGGCTCATATCTGTGCACTTTAGGTTGACTCATGAGGGAGACTCCTGTATTGTGACTAAAGATATTTTACCATTGACTAAGCAGTCCATCTTCCACAGCCACACATCATGTTCAGCCTGTACTGTACACCAAGTGTAAATGTAAGATAATCCACAGTGTATCCTCCCACCACACCATATACAGTACTTCATGAATATATTTACTGCACTAAGAATATTGATGACACGTTTTTCCAAAATATTTTTGCATTTGTTAAGTTTCCTGAAGTATACTCCTAAGAAACCTTTAATTCATAATAAGAGTTTGTACAGAGGTTGATGATGTGTGTAGTGTCATACAAGAGACAACACAGTGAGATATGCTTCAGGTTATTCATATTGAAGCTTGGTGGACACAGGAGTGGCTGCCTCTTATTTTTTCATTATCATTTATTTTGAACTTCACTTCTAGTTATTATGTCTATTAGATCTATCACCACCTGTAAGGCACAACCAGTTGTGTGAAGGGGTGGACCGGACACCCTCTGTCCTCAGTGTCACTGAATATCACTTCATTTTGCATTACCGCTCACAGGCTGAGTGCGGGGTGTTCGAGAAACTTAGTACCTGCCAGCGACAAAATTCAATTTATATCACTTCATTCATTTGCTAGCTTCACAACTCACTGTCACTGCAGATTCCTGGCATATTCATCCATTCACCAGACCTCAGTGTCACTACATATCACTGTTTACTCATAAATCTGTTAGCACTTGTCTCACACACTGTTGGAGACTCAAGAAGTTGACACACAAGTTTTACAGTTCAGTCATTAATTTGGGGACTTGAGACTCCAGTAAGTGTCCTGTTTACTAACCCTTGTGCAGTGACTGAAGATACACTTGTTCACGTTAAGTCATTTCCCTTCACCCTGGGCAGATGTGATATTTGACGACAATGTTTTTTTTCTCTTCCATCCATAATTAATATGCCTGGTGCTTAAGCAAAAAAGACTAAATATAATATTCCCGTTTCCCATCCAACTTATTTTTCGTTCTTTACCTACCATAATTTTTTTTGGCTCGACAAATAAATAACTACCAAATCTAGGAGTACATGTAATTTATATAAAGAAAATTTGCGTTAAATACAACCATGTTTACATTCATTTACAAAGAGGTGCTTTAGACAAACTAAAAATTAAATGTGGTAAAAGTATCAGTAATTCAGAGCTTCATCCTCTATGTATATAAGCTAACACTCGGCTCAGATGACTCGCTTATCCTTATATCAGACACTGTAAGTTGTACATCCAGGTCCCCCAACAGTGATGGCTGCAACTAACTTAATTGTTAATTTAAACAATCTTGTCTCAGATATATGAAGCATTGGTGAGGGCGCTTGATCCTTAAACCATTCTTAAGTTTCAGAGACTGTGGGACTTATTGTAATCTGTGTGTAAGAGAAATTAGGGTTGTCTTCAGTTAAGGGCAGTTTTAATGCTTGTCTTCTTCTGCGGGAAAGATTTGCTTTATATTTTGTAAAGGCAGCTTAATAATAACAGTTTATTCTGACCTGAGGTTACAGATTTATCTTAATCAACATTTTATGAAATTGGTCAACGTGTAGAGCAACTAGTAGTTATGTTTTATATATGTTTAAGACACTGAACTCCCTTAACTGGGCTGCTTTTTGTTTAGGGGGGGGGGGGGACACCTGACCCAAGTGGCACCACATGTTCTTTAACCTTCCTTAAGAGGCCAGTCCTGGTTGTCACTGCTACTTCAAGGGACCAGACATTAACTGTGTTCTGTGTTGGTCGCTGCTAGGATATACAAACTGTGTTGACAGTTTGTATGACACTATAGATTACTTGGGTTAGTCAAGTTACTCCCCCTATGAGATACTGTACAGTAGTTGTACCAGTTGTTGGAGCTTATTTTTAACAACTCTTAACATACCCTCAAGCGGAGTCTTCCTGGGCTATGACTGAGATAAGAAAGTTTGACGTAAATTACAGTTAGTTTCAGCCATAATAATGAAGGGCCCTGGGGTTTTAACTTATGGACTCCAGGCATGGTTAAAGAATTGATTTCAAGGATGACTCCCTGACATTCAAAGCTGATGCAGAATTTTTTTTTTTTTTTCATCGCAATAAGATTAATTGACTTGTGAGGATAATACTTCAGTGACAATCTTAGGCACATTTAGTTGTCTTTTTCATAAGGAAAGTTTTAAAAGTTTGTTGAATAAAGTTACATTAAATACTAGAACCTTTTATGTATTTGCTCAAGCCAAGGTTGTACTTCAGAGTGGACTAGCATAAGAATTATCTACTGTATTACTGACGGGATACAATAGGTAATAATAACAGCGGACACGTTGCTCTTAAGAAATATTTCAAATGTTAGTGTTTGGCTTATTGACTTAAAGTAACTGTTAAATGCTGCAAGGACTGTTAAAATGTGTTCCAAGATGTGGTCAAATTTGGGGGATATTTTGATGACTTTTCTTTTATCAGAGTGTGTGTATTTTATTTTTAGGTGATCTACTTCGTTCATTGTTATTGTTCACCTTATTGCTATTGTTCACCCCCATTGCTATTGTTCATCTCATTGCTATTGTTCACCTCATTGCTATTCTTCACTTCATTAGTATTGTTCTTGTCATTGATATTCAAGGGTTAGACATTGTATTCAAGCACTTAAGATGATTTTATTGGGTACAGTACAGGAATGGACATGGTCATTGTTAAGTTGAGCGGTGAACATGTTGGCTTTTAACCCGTTCCAAATGTATGTTTAATTTGTGCAAGTATTTATGATAAGTCTTCTCAATGTGTGTGGGGGGTAAGTATGCATTATGGGAGCTTTTCCATTGTCTGTGACTTTCTGTGCTTCATTTTCTTTTCAATATTGTTGCTGCCATTATTTTGATATTTATTGGTATGGAATATGAAATTACTAGAGGAGGAGAGGGACACCTTTTAAGAGCTGTGAGGTTGACAAAAGTGATGGGAAGTAAAGTGGGGAGGCTGCAAGAATTTGAGTTTTGAGTGGAAAGGTCGCTGATGAGATGTTAGTAAGACAGTGAGTGTGAGGAGACAGATGGCCAGATCCTGAAGGAGAATTATCACCATTTCAAAAGCCTAAAAGATATCTGTAGGAGTTTTGAAAAGTTCCATTAGATTTTTTTTTTTATGAAGACTAGAATGTTTGCATTCATTGTGGCCATTTGTTAATGTCAGCGTAGACGAGGACTACTTTTAGTTTGACACGAGAACTTGTCAACAGTAGGATTTCACCGCTTTTTAATGGCTCAACAGCTTGATATTACTGCTATACCTTTAATCATATTTCCTAAAAAAAAAAAAAATAGCAGATCTCGCCTGTTATTCCTGATCCTTCTATCCTCACATTTACCCGAGGTCTTCACATGACAAGTTTAAAGAATCTAATCGATATAGACTGTCTGACTCAACCAAATAGTCTCCCACCTGTGTATCCCTGGGTTGAATCCTGCTTGGGGTAGGTATAAGAAAGGTGTTATCCCATATGACTTTAACACCATGAAGGTTTACACCAGATACTGTACTGTATTCTGGTTCCTCCTGTACTTATACTGGATGCCTGAAGATAAAGATTTAGGTCTAGTTACACTGGCCAGATGCCTGTGTGTAGTGTGCTCAATTAAAGTTGATTGGATAGCCTTTCCTCCCCTCTTAAGCCCTTCCTTACTGCGTTATGTACTCTGTTAGCTGTATTTTACAGGACCTTTTGCAATCGGACACCTTATATCGCCTTGTAACCTCTTCGATGTGTAAGATGTTACATTAACTGTAGTACTGTACATCACTGAAGGTACACAAGAAACCAGATTACAAAATTTTCTTGAATTTTTACAGATTTAGAAATACTGTAACCTGTGTCTGACAGACTTCTCCAGAGAATACAGTTTCTTATCAGTCAAAAATGTAATAAACTTGCTCAAGGAAGTTTACCTGTCACTCAGAATCAGAAGTACTGTGTGTGTGTACTGTCCCATTGATCACCAGGAGGATATTCCAGATCCGATAAGAGAGGTACTTGTCATCATACACCTGTACCAGCTCCAGCATATAGGGTAATGAGGAAGGGGATAAGAGATATTATAATGGCAGTGGCAGTGCATAGAATACTCCTCTAAGGGAGAGTAAATGTATTAGGTGTGTGTCCCCTGGGCAGCACAATATTCAGAGCTTTTTAGTAGACAAGATTATTTATTGTCTTGGTTATATCTCCTGGGAGGAGGATGTGGTCCATTCATTCTAGATATCGTAGTCCATAAACGAGATATTTGATGCTGTACATAGTGTAGATAATATATATCACTAATGGTTCTATTTGACTTGTTATGTAAATATTGGAGGTATAATTCCTGATAAATTGTACAGATATGTCAATAACTTTGCTGCAATAAAGCATCGTATCAGAATGAATTTTATTAATTAAAGAAACATACAATAATAGATGACTTGTCATATATGTATAATATTTAAATTACAATATTGTGCAAGATGAAAATTCTAAACTACATCTCTTTACTAACAGTCACCAACTGCAACACATCATCACTAATGTATTTACAATCTATGCAACACCACCAAATTTACACCAAATTCTCTTGTCTATTTCTGGAGTGTTTAATAAGAGGTATCGCTGTGCTGAATTTGACTTTAGCACATGGTATCCTTTGGCTAACCTAACCTTACCTGAGTGGGAGGTAATGGATAGATAGATTAATATATAGGAGTTGGATAGACGTTAATTGATAGGTGAATAGATTGCCAGATATGATTAAATAAATGAATAGGTAAAATAAGCTGTTTACGTACATATCTGAATTAAAAGCAGGAGAGAGAAGGGAGGGAGATGAGAGAGAGAGAGAGAGAGAAAGTTCACTTGACCTGACCTAATAGTACATTTTGACACACATCTGTCTAAATATGTTCTGCCTCATAGATCCCTCTCGGCTACACTGCTACCATAATTATACCAAATCATGCAACGTGTTTTGTAATGGGAAACGGGAATTATACACCTAAAACTATGTATATTTACCGATAAAAATGTTCTATATCATGACTATAAATGCTTTGGAATATAGGAAAATGTGAAGTATGTAGTACAATATAAGGGTGGTATTAGTTAGTAGAGGACTGGAATAAGGATGCAGCGAGTAGATTCACTTGACACAATAAAGTGGAGGCAATTCAGTAAGTGGGGCGAGAAGAGGATTTATTGCATTTGTTACAGTGTGGATTAAGCCGCATCTCAGCTGTTCCCGTTAAAACACACAGCTTTCATCCTTTCTGTCTGTAATAAAAATATATGATTGCTTATTCTTCGTATTTGTTATTACACATGGAATGGTGTTGAACATCTCAAGTCTCACAGCCTCCTCAACTTTCAGCTGATGTCGTGGAAGTACCTGGATAATATTGAGAATTAGTTGCCAATATTATATAAAATTACTAAATTTTCTTTATAATACATAATATATATGAATCAAATATTATTATAAGATTTATATAAAAAAAGATGAATTATCGGATCATTATAGGAAACATCGGAGAGAGAAAAATAGAGTGAGGATTTATGAAGGTGTTTGAGTAGCACATGGTGGGGTCGCCAGGGTAACGGAGTCGACCTGGCCAGACGCAAACAAACCCCCGGTAGAGGCAGACGGTGGTGGCGGTGTCTAGCCTCGGTATCTTTAGTTGGTAAATTAACACACCATACCCGTACCCATAAGTGCTCCCAACACCTTAAAACAAGTGCTCTCAGGAAAGTGTCGTGTGAGAAAGTGACTGAGAGGAGGGGGGACATCCAAGCTCAAGCCAAGCCCGTGTAGACAGTGTAATTGATCGTGGTGTTGTTAGGTGAAGTGACCATTACCGTTTCTTATAACGGTATATTAACCTTACCTGTGTGACGTTAACAGTGAACAGTAACCTAGACACCGTAGATAAGAAATAACATTACCAGAAATTTGAATCGTTTCTTAGTGGATATAATGAAAGGACTTTAATGGGTGGTTATGTTAGGTTAATTAGTGACTGGATAGGTTAACTAATGACACTAAATTAACTAATGGTGACTTATTATTTACATGTCATTTTGTTAACTAAGCTGAAATTTAATCTTTTCCTGTGATGGTTAATAGATGAGGCCGTAGTTAACATTGCAAAATAGTAAGTAGTTTAATTTGTTGTTTGTTTTTGGTAAGGAGAGAATGTGTTTATTTATTTCATGTGTATGTGTGAAGGAACCGCGTACATGTGTTACTTTGTATATGTAGGTCACTTATGGTGTGTGTGCGTATATAACCATGTACGTATGTTATTTTTTTCATTATCGTGTGTACAGTATGGGATCCGTCTCTCACACACCAAGTTATAATTAGAATAACAATCACAAAGAATAATTGTGATGCAGTTAAGAAAAGTAAAAAAAAAACACTGCTTCATTTAACTTCCGTTGTATAAACCAAATTAAAGCGGGAAAAATAAAAAACAAAACGTCCTTGCGGTTTGACATTTTCAGACAGTTCCGTCGTGAAGGAATTTCTTGTCCTTTCAAATGTTCAAGATTGTTCCGTTGTTATTTGTTGTATTTAATAATGAACAAGAGATTAAGGAAGCGTTATACAAGGGCGTTTACCAAGCCAGTATCTTAATGCGTGTGTTTATCGAGTCGTATGCAGTACAGTATGCTATTCCCACATTTTCTGTACATAGCTTAAATTTTTGCAATATATCGTTGATTTTTTTGTAACTTGCAGGTATTTATACGTTCCATTGTTGTTCTTGTCGGTTTAAATCACTTTATAGATGGTGAAAAATGCAGTGAAATGTATAAAAAGGGTAACAGTCACTCAGTTCACGTATTAGAGGTAACATCGCCTTGAGGAACTGCAAAAATAAACAGTAAGAATTTTGTGAGTCGTCTAAAAGGCTTTATAGATTAAAATAAACTTCACTTCCTTGTATAGAGCCAGATAATGGTTGTAGGGAGCTGGTGTGGGGACGTGTTATGGATTCCTGTAGGCTATGTCAGTATATGGCTTCCTTCGTGTACATGTAGGGGAGCTGCTTACACACACACAGACGTATACACACACACATAGATATAGATGCACACACACACACACACACCGAGATATTTATACCAGTATACGTACATATACACACAGATATACGTATACACATTGATATACGTACACATACAAATACACACATGTATAAGGTACACACACACACACACACAAGGTGGCCAGGTGACCCACTGAGAAACTAACCTGGCTAGATCATGTTACGTCATTCAGGTGTGTGACCCCCGCTCTCTCTCTCCCTCTCTCTCTAATTACTTATCGTTATATTGGGTGACGTTTATCCGTGAAAAGAATAACTAAGGAACCACTTGAAGTTTAGGCACCCCGCTTATCCCACTTGATAATTAAACACCCTAACGTTAACCTGACATAACCTAACCTAACCACCCCCAAGTAACGTTAAGATAATGATTCAGGTTAAATAAGCTGGGTGGTGGGGGGGGTTAATGTTCAGGTGACCCGCCCTTAGCACCTGTTTATCTTACCCACCGAAGTAGGTATTTAGTGGGGGGGGGGGTGTGTGCTAGTTCATCGTGCACCATTTTGTGACCAGTGGCGGGGTAAGGTTAGGTGAGACATAAGTTAATATTTATGTTCTTAGACTTAGTTGGTAAGTGGACGACAGTGATTGAGGTGCCGCAGGTGACAGTGAGAAGTGACACAGTGAAGGATGATCTAATCTAGTGTACAGGTTCAGGTGTGTAGATGAAGGTGTAGTTGATTCTTAGTCCTGGTAAGTGTTGAGGCTTGACGGTGGTGTACAGTGAGATGGTTAAGGATGGCTTCTAGGTCTGCTTCATCGATTGTTTACTTATTGTGATGATCAACTGTGGTTCCTGCGTGAGAGGGAAACCAGAGGAACTTGATGTGAGATTGTGATGAGAAGGAGGAAGTAACGATGAGGAGGTCAGGTCAGGTCAGCGGCCTCACAAACGACCATCATGAGGTACAGTCATAAACCCAACAGTTGTGTGTGTGTGTGGTGCTGGGGTAACCACACACTACTGTCCCCAGAATGTCAACACAGCCGTCTCACTAAACAAGGAGTGGCTGAGGGCGGCGTGAGGTAGTTAGGGAAGTGGCGACGGTGTCAGTTCCCGCAGACCAGAAAAGGTTGAGGATGTGAGAGAGGCGGGAAGTGTGTGGCCGCCGGGGAGCGTTGATGAGTGTGTGAAGGTCGTCGGTGGAAGAGGTGGTTGAGTGTGTACAGGGGTAGGAGGGATGGATGACGAACTGCTGTGAGAATGGAAGCGTAAGATTTCATGAGTGATGTGTGTGTGTGATAAGTTGTTGGATGAGGAGGACCGTGGTGGAGAGGTGGGTGGCAGTAGGAGGTAACCGTGCATGATTGACCTAAAGACAGCAAAGGGGAAGTCTCATCAGCTAGGTTTGTGTTGTACTCTTGGCGTGAGGCTGCAATAGGGACAGGGCCAAGACGGTGGTGAGGTATAGGGAAGGTTTCAGCTGTAATAGATACTGAGGGAGGACCTGTATGACGGTTGACCTGTAAGTGTGCAATAGTTTAGTAACATTATCCTGTAGTTCGTGGGGGTGAGGCGCTACCTGATGGGGAGGTAGGTGCTGGTGAGAGAGGACGAGGCTCGGGATCTGCCAGGTACAGGTAAAACAGGAATGGACGGGTTAGTCATACCAAGGCGGTCAGTGTCTAGCAGATCAACAACAGGTGACCGATAGTGACGTTACAGTTGACAGTTTATGATGAGAGGTGGACCGAGAACACTGCCCTGGGGTGTACTCGGTCCTGGTGAAGTAGATCTTGTGTATAGCCGTGTACGTGAGGTCTTCGAGGATCACGTTCATGTGGGTGAGGCCGTCGAGGATCACGTCCATGTGGGTGAGGTCGTCGAGGATCACGTCCATGTGGGTAAGGCCCTCGAGGATCACGTCCATGTGGGTGAGGCCCTCGAGGATCACGTCCATGTGGGTGAGGTCGTCGAGGATCACGTCCATGTGGGTGAGGCCCTCGAGGATCACGTCCATGTGGGTGAGGCCCTCGAGGGACACGTGACAATTGATCTTGTTAGAGTTAGCGGACGATGAGGTGGGTTGCAGGTCTGGAGAGGGGGAGATGAGGAGGATGGTGGTGAGAGAGGGGAGGGATGGTGGTGAGAGGGAGGTGAGGGAGAGGGATGGTGGTGAGGAGAGGGAGAAGGATGGTGGGAGAGGAGGGAGAGGGATGGTGGTGAGAGGGGGAGATGAGGGAGAGGGATGGCGGTGAGAGGGAGGAGATGAGGGAGAAGGTGAAGGAAAGAGGGAGGGATGGTGGTGAGAGGGAGGAAATGAGGGATAGTGGTGATAACCTAACCTAACCACACTTACACCAACCTAACCTAAAAACATTCAACGGAAGCTTTATTAGGTTGTAACTCTCTTGTACTCTAGACCTGTGTGATTGTTGTGGGTGTGAGGGTGTAGTGGGTGGATGTGAGGGTGTAGGGGGATGTGTGGGTGTAGAAGGGCGTGAGGGTGTGACTGGGTATAGTCTTGTCTGGCTTCTCTGTGTATATCAAGTATAAAACCCTTCCCTCCTCCCTCTTCCTCCCTCCCTCTACCTTTCCTCCCTTCCCCTCGTGTCACCTGAGGAAAGGAAGGGAGGGGCTCACCTATTTTACGGTCGACGGGTTTTCGAATCTCTCTCTCTCTCTCTCTCAGTCCTAGGAGAAGGATGTCTTGAGTGTAGGATCTAGGAAGTGGTCAGCGAGGGGAAGGAATCAAGGCACATTAATCCTCAGGTTCATGAACTAACAGGAATGTCTCCAATACTTGTTTTACCGACAACAACAAGATCCCAGTTACCTCCCGTGTGTCTGAGTGTGTGTGTTCAGTCCAGTGTATGTACGACGCAGTTAAATAATAGGAAGTGTATACATGGTTATCGACCCAAGTTTAGCTCCCAAATAATAATAATTATTTCCTCTTTTACGTCAGCCACTGTTGATTGCCTACCATAGTCGCCATCTTGTTTGTTTACACTTAACAGCTGTTCCTAAGACCGCCTTCGTCATTGTTGTTGTTGTACTTGTTCTTCGATTTCTCTTTCTGTATTTTTTATTTTATTTTTATTCGATTGTTTTTGTATCTTGTTACTTCCTATTGTTGGTTTTCTTCGCCAAATGTTTTTTTCTTTCTATTTATTACTACTTCTAACGATAATAATAATGATACGGTAGAAAAAGTGAAGCTGGTATTATTATCATTACAGTAGTAGTAGTAGAGAGTTCGAAACGTTGATCAAGGCAGCTTCGCTCCTCTGGTGTTCACAACCTCTGGTGGGATGGGACCGGGTGCAAGATGTTTCTGCGCCAGACTCGCGGAGGTGATCTCCGAACAGAGGCAGCAGCCCAGAAGTTATGTTACAGCCTGGATGAGATGTCGACTGTCCTTCTCTCTCATTCGGTCGGCTTTGCTCTGCCTCGGGGGAAGCTTCGGCTCCGGAGCCGACAACAGCTGCAGATGTTGACTGTGAGGCTGCAGTCACTGGGTGCCGCATGGGTCTGCGGCTCAACTAATTCAGCACAGCGGGGATGGCTGCTCGTGTATTAGGATATTTAATATTAAGGTAATAAAATGGCGGCGAAGGTGTGGCTATTAGGGGAGGATCGAGGCCAATTAAAAAAAGTAGTAGTAGTAGCGCTATAAAAGTATCACTATTCACCACTAGACGGACACAGTCAGCCCCACATAAAAAACAGAGCAGCAGTGTCGTGACCACCAGCCACACACTACTACACTCCGTCCCAGAACCATCCTACCATATATCTCTTGATACATAAATATTCATCATTCATGTTCACTCACGAGGGCCACTCACTGTTACTCACCCACAAGAGACACTCACTGTTACTCAAGAGACATTCACTGTTACTCACAAGGGTTACTCACGAGGACCATTCATATTTTCTCACTTAGGGATAATTCACAAGAGACACTCACTGTTACTCACAAGGGTTACTCACGAGGACCATTCATCTTTTCTCACTCAGGGATAATTTAAAAGAGACATTCACTGTTACTCACAAATGACACTCACTGTTACTCACGAGGGACACTCACCGGACT